GCTCCCGTTCTCCCCAAACACCCCGGCCAGCTTCTGGACAAAGTCCCTTGAGGCAAGGGGAGGAAGGATTTGTTTGACCCAGCCGCCAGGCTTCCCCTCCTCTTCCACTTGCCTGCCTGGCAGGAACTGCAAAGGCCAGAGGCCCCCACAGGTCAGCAGCAGCTCAGGGTCTGCCACAGAACTTGTCACCACTCGGGAGCACGTGAGGAGTTGTGCTGAGACAAAGCCCAGCTTTGGGTCCTTGAGGTTAGAGAAGCCCACCCTGCTTGGTAGTTGATGGAGCACGCTGGGGACGGCCATGGAGCCCGGGGGCGGGGGCTTAGGTCTGAGTCCCAGCTGGACCATTGACTTGTTTTCTGCCCTTTTTTGGGGTCAAGGAAATGCCCTGTTCTGTGAAGTGCGGAGTTGGATGAGATAGGTCAGACGCCCGTACTGTGCGCTGAAGTTCTGGGGCCCTAAGACTCCATAAGGGGGTGCCGCCACCCAAGGAGGAGGCTGGCCTCACGTCTTAAGTCCGGCGTTGTCCAGCACCAGCTCTTCGAGGCTCCCCGACTTGCTCAGGGTATGTAGCACCTGTTCTAGCACTTCAGAGCCCTGAGGACAGAGGGGGTGCTGCTATCGGGAACCAGAGAGGACACTGCGCTCTCCCGCTTCCCCCATCCCTGCCAGTCCCTACCAGCCGCAGGTCCTTGCAGTAGAGTTTGGTGAACCACTGGTTGTAGGCCAGGGCTGCCACCATTAGGGCCAAGTCTCTGTGGAGAGATTGAAGGGGGTAGAACGTGGTGAGCAGGTGGCCAAGCAGGAAAGAAGAGACTAGGGATGGAGTGGCTGGGCCGGGGAAAGCCTGCACAGGTAGAAGGCCGTGGTGGGTGGAGTTGGGGAGAGAGAGCTGGGGCTGTGGGTGGGACAAGAAGGGCATTTGGTGTGGGGTGGGGAGTCTCTATCCCATCAGCTTACCGGCTCTCCAAGTGGCTGAAATCCAAAAGATTGAACTCCCGGTTATCCTCGGCATGATAGATGGTGTCCACATCCTTGGAGAGGTGGAACCGGGTCACACCCGCTCCCCTCCTCCTCCGCCTCCACCTCCGCCCCCGCCCTCCAGGTCCCACTCGCCCAAGGAGTGGGTCCCGGGCCAACGCACCCATTGCACCTCCTCACGGCAGTGCAGCCCATTGTAGTCACACAGAGCAGCGTAGGTCTCGGAGAAACCACCTGTGGGGCAGTAGATGGGCTGGCTCCGTGAGGGGCAAGGGGATGAGGAACACGTTTGGCAGTCAAGGAAATGTCAAGGTCATTTTATGTGCTAGTATCCTGGGTTCCTGCAACACCATGAACCTCTGAGGTCTGGGAGCTGCGGAGTCCTCAGGGCAGGTGAAATCCCACATACAAAGGACTCTGGACGAGGGGCAGGGTGATTTAGGTCCCACTTTTGTCAAGTCTGTCCCTGCTCACCACAGACACTGTGAGTGGTAGACGTGGACGTCTCAGAGTTGGGGGATGTATCCCGGGGCCCCTCTGGAGTGTCTGCGTTTCCACGTCGGATTAGACACCTGGAAGGTAAACAAATCCATCCCAGAGAGAGGTGAAAACAGGCTCTCAATTCTTCCCCTGTATGGCTTCTGGATCCCCAGGAAAAAACAGGAGCAGAAACAAGTTTGTTCTGCTCCTTGGTGCCCTAGAAGCTTAGGTCCAGGGGAAGGAGAGAAGGAGGGAAGAAAGAAGTCTCCTCGTTGTCCAACTCCTTGAGAGATTCCTCCTTTGCCACTCACCCAGGACCAGGGCAGACCTTGGAGAGGGCAGAGCTCACATGTCGCGTCACCTGGTCCACACTCTCCGCTGATGGCAGCCGCATGCTCACCATGCCACGCTCTGTCTCCACTAGGATCTAGGGGCGAGGGAGCAGCAGGGCCAGTTACTGACCCCTTCTTCCTGCTGGCCCAACGGAGGGGCCCCTGGCCCCGGTGCTCACCTGGTTCTGACTGAGCGTGTTGAAGGCCCGGATCTCCAGGACATTGAAGGAACTTTCCACCTAGGGGTGTGGGGGTGCTCATATCGTGGTAAGGGTCTGGCCCCCAGGTTTGGGGGGGAGCATGACAGGTGCTCTCCCACTCCTCAGCCCAACTCACCTTTGCTGGGACTTTAAGGGGGAAGAGGTGGAGGCGCCAGGAGGTCAGGGCCTTCAGAGAAAGGAAAAGAAAGTCAGCAGCAAATGGCAGTTTCCTGGGCATTGACCCCTGTGCTCGCTTAGCCCTCTCAGCTTGGGTGCAACCCTGCCAGCGACAGCCCTCTGCTGTGGGGGTCCTCCCTTTCCCTCATGCCCCGTCCTAATCTCCTGGATATCCATCCGTCCAGCCTGCCCCTCTCGCAGGCTGTCTTTTCAGCTCTTCCCTACCTCTGTCTCCCCTGCGTCCCAGGTGCTCTGCCTTCAGCGACCTTGCTGCCCTTGGTACCTCCCTCTGCTCCCAAGCCTAGCGTCCTCACCAGCACGCGGTCCTCAAACTTCTTGGGCTTCGTCTCCAGCTTCACACGGTGTTGTTGGAGCACAGCCCCTTGGCTCAGGCACCTCCGGATGCTGTCTGCAGGTGGATAGGGGCCTGCTCAGAGCTCTCCTTACCCAGGGCTCTCCAGGGGCAGGGGCAGGTGGGAGTAGAGAGAAAAAGAGAGACAAAGGATAGGGACATAGACCTTTACTTCTTGGGTGACTTTTATGTTCCTATTAGAGAGGGAGGCAGGTGTGGAGAAAACTTGCTCCTGATGTTCCTGAGTCAAGGGACAGTCACTGAGTGACACTTCTGTGGGAGGATGTGTCTTATACATCTGAGGATGTGAAGGATTTTTCCAACCCATTCACTCGAACAACTGTCAATGCATACACAGTGAGTCAGCGTGTGGGGGTGTGGGGGTGTCCCTTTGACTATATTCTAGGTGGTCTGGGCGTGCGTGTCTGCCTTTTACTACACGTGTGTGCGTGCCTTCTGAAGATGCTACAGAGCCCATCTGTGGCATTGGCAGGGATGGGTAAGTGTGAATGAGTATGCTGTGCTTGCAGTTGTGAAAGGGGCACAGAGCCAGAAGATTCTGGTGTGTGTGGGGGGGGTGGAGGTGGGGGTGGGAAGGAGTTAGTGTTTAAATGAGACCGTACCCAGCAAAATATCCCAGAAAGGGGTGGGGAGAGAATGAGGTGGGGGTGCAGGTGCTACAAAGACGTGTGTACACACATCTCATGTTTGTGCTTGTATGTGTGTGGAGGTGTGGGAAATTGTCAAGGTGCAGCGTGCCTCTGAGTATCCTTGAGCGTCCTGGTCTCTGCGTGGGCTAGCCTGCGCTCCTGCCTCTGGGGGTCAGGGTTGTGGCAATGCTGGGGGTGGGGTGGGGCCTTGGTTTGAGCTGAGTCTTAGGGCCATGCAAACAGGAGAGGCCTTGAGGTGTGAGTGTATGGCTGCGAGAAGGGGACAGGTTGGGACGGGGGCTGTTGGGGAGCGAGTCGCAGAGACCCTGCTCTTGCTTTTAGCTCCAATCCAGGCCCTCTTTCCTGATTCTCTTCTTTGCCCCACTGGTCGGGGCGCTGCCAGGCAGCTAGAGGGGCTCTCCGGGGCCAGTTCCGGGGCGGGGCCGGGAGAGGGAGGGTGTGGAGCCAAGAGGCGGTCAGGACCAGGGGCAGCTCCCATCGTGCGGCGGGGCGGGCCTGGCTCCGCCCGGCGGGGAAACCTGGACTCTCCGGAGGGGAGACTAGATGCCTTGCTGAGGGTTGGGTCAGGACCGCTGAGAGTCGGCTTTAGGGAACGCAAGGGGACTGCACCGAAGATCGGCACGGGCGGCTACGGGACAGTAAGGTCCTGACCGGGTGAGGCGAGGGGGGGAGCGGAGGATGCTCCGGAGACAGATGCCCAGAGCTGAGACACAGGGGCAGGGGGTTGCCTTGCCACCGGGATACATGGGGCGGCGGCGGGAGGCACCGGGGCTGGGGTGTGCCGCGGAGAGGAACGCACTGGGTCTGGGATGCTCCCAGCCGGGCGTCCCGGAGACCACCGCAGTCTCGTACCTTGCAGCTCGCGGGTGAGCTCCGCGCTGGACTTGGCCATGGCAGCCGCTCTTGCTGCCACTGCTGCAGAGGAGCCGCCGTTGCCGCCGCCGGGGAGCCGCGGCACATGCTAGATCCGGCTCCGGGAGGGCCTGAGCGCTGAGCGCTGCAGCAGCCGCCGAGCCCGGTCCTGTCAGGGGCGGCTGCGCGAGCGCTCCAGCCCCCGCCTCCCAGCGCCGGGTCCCCCACCCTGCCCGGGGAATGCCGGACTGAGCATGCGCGGCGCGCCTCCGGGCCGCGTGAGACCCTGCGCGCGCTCTAGCCCACTCCTCCCAACCGCTCCCGTGTGCGTCGCCCTCGCCGTGTTACCTTGAGCCCGGGCCATCTCCCTGGCGGGGGACATCGTCCCCGCTTTGCGTGCCACACACTCTTAGGGCACCCTGAGCAAAATCCATTTCTTTTGTTTGTGGGCCTGAGTACCCCTGTCATCCTTGCAAGGCACCTCCCTTTTCCTGTTTGTTTGGGCCGGCGCACCTCGCCCTCGCTAACCTGCGAGGGAACTCGGGATCCAAGGATAGGACTTGGCCAGATCTGGAGGAGTTCGGCCTTCCTTTCCTGCCCACCCAGCCATGGGGATCCCTGTGGCGCCCTTGGCACCATCCCTGCGGATGTAGCACCTGGGAATTCCCGTGCCACCTCCTTCCAGCTGGTAGCTCTGCAGACACCTCCGTCCCTGAGCATCAGGCTCAGGTCCTGGAGACTAGGAAGGAGGATTAGAGGGACCCAGACATCCAATCCACTCAGACTTACGCTCTCTGCTCAGCTACCACACCTATGCACCCCAAACTAAAAAATGAGCACATTGATTCAAAACAACTATGATCATCTGCATTTTATTTGCACCTCATTTGCAAGTTATTAAATTTCAATCTTCCTACTCCTTCTTTCAACTCCAGGTTCCTTCTTTTCCATCTCCCTCAAATTCCTTAGAGTCACAGTAATGACTGTCTATATATTTATATATATATAATCAGTTGCTTTTTGCCAAGGTAGACTCAGCTTTCTCAGCAGGCCTGCCCTGTGTCCTCAGCGGAGGTCTTTATCCAAGGCTACAGCAACAGCGGGTATCCTCATAAGACCAAACTTTGACAGCAGGGAAGGCTGGATTTTGTCACAGGGCAGAATTGATTTGGGGTGGGGGTGGGGGTAGGGTATGAGGTGAGCAGTATGACAGGTAGAGGTGGGAAAGGCCATTCGATGAATGAGGGAACTGGACCAGAAGTTGGAGCCCAATCTCTGCTCTTGAAGGCTCTCTCCAGGTACTCAGAGGTGGGACAGAGCCCCTCCAGCCACTACCACTGTTTCCCCAGTGATGTAGCTGGCATCTTCAGAACACAGGAAAGACACAATGCCTGCACAGTCCTCTGGCTGGCCTATCCTGGGGTATAGGGAAAACAAGGAAGAGAGTAAAAATCCAAGAGGCCAGGCCCACTGACCTGGCCCACAGGGAATGAAATTTGCTTAATCAAAAAGTATCAGATGATTTTTCAGGACCAGTGTACAAGTCCATCAACTAGGGTTAAGATAATAAGCTATTGCAATTTAGTATAAGCATGAATACTGTTCTCTGTAAAAGCCACTATAAATTATATTCAAATAATGTAGACATACTTAGTTCTTTAGAACAGGGGTCCCGACTCCTGATACTGGTCTGTCTGCAGCCTGTTAAGAACCTGGCTGGAGAGCGAAGCTCATCTGAGCCCCACCTCCATCCCCCCACCGCGCCCCAGTCTTTCACAAAAGAAACCGGTACCTGGGGCCAAAAAGGTTGGGGACTGCTGCTTTAGAGAACTCAGGACACCAAAATCCAAAGTTGTATAGATAAACTGGTGAGTAGCTATTTCATACTTCAAAAAATTTGTTTCACACGTGTGCATACTACTCAAGTATCAGGGAGTCTGTGAGACAGTAAGTGGTTTGTTTAAAATGACTCCCTTGCACAGCTTCAATTCACAGCCAGCTTTTTCAGGAATCTACTTTTGTCCCTTAGGGTCAGGTTCATTTTGTGAGAATGTGCTCATTCTCAGTGTTTGTATCAGTGATTGCATAGTTGGGAACACTTTAACATAACTGCTGTAAAATGCTCTAGAGGAGGGGCAGAGTAGGTATCTTGAAACCAGAAGGTTTGGATTAGTGGTTCTTCATCCTAGTGTACATTGTAATCATCAGGAAGGCTTAACACCCTGCCCTTTCAAAGATGGGGCTCTAAGCTGACAGTACCCTAACTAATTAGTGAGTTCTGAGCTAGGCCTGCAGCTCATGCCTGGCATCAGAATGGCTTTGGGAGAATTGGAGAGGGTCTCCTTCCATAAGTAGGCCTTGTTTGCACAAGTAGTCCTTGGGGGACAAATGGAGAAGCTTAAGACAAGAGAGTTCTTAGAAGCCAGAAGCTGGAGAGAGGCAGGGAACTTGGAGGAAAGGGAGACAGATGAAGGTACCTGAGCAGTTCATCCAGCCCATTGGGGAAGGGTCTAGTTTTCGTAGGCAAGGGGAGTTAGGGGACTTAGTAAAAGATCTTCATTCCTTTTATTTGGGTTTCAGGGTCATCAACCTGAGCTTTGAAAACATGATTCTTTATTCAAAGACAACTAAAAAAGCACGTTTTGGTTTTGGTCCCTGGGAGATAGGGATGCCTTGAGGTGCAGGCAAACAGCCAGCTGGGGAGAGGAGTCAGGGCCTCTCCCAGAGCTCTTCTTTGCTGAAACCTGGGCACCTCCTTGCACATACCCCCCTCTAGTGATGCAGCGTTCACGTACTTGAGAAGTGTGTGTGTTTTTGAGGCAGAGGAGAGCATGCCCTTGCTGTACGGGGGACCAAGGGACACAAGATGCAGGCTGTGTGGGGGACCAGGCCTTTCAGTCTTTATCCCTCCTAACTCTCTCTGTGACAGCCTTACCTTCTCACCCGCAAGAATTCTTTTGTATTCTTCTCTCTTTCCTTGTCCATCCACAACTGCAGGAAAAAGGGAATCTCTTTACGTGAAAGAAGAAGAAAGGGAGGGACAGAGAGGGGAGACATTGTCTGTCCTCACGTCACTTGAGAGGAAAAGTGGAGAGATGCCCTCTTTCACTTCCTAGCCCATCCTAGCCCCCGGTCTTTCTCCACGGCCCTCTTCTGGGTCATTCTTTTCAAATTCTAGTGAGGCATTCCCCTGGGTCTTCCCAATTTCCACCCACTTACGGAGATACGGAACGGTGTGAATAGAATCTGAATTTCTCAGTCTCCACTGCATACCTCAAGAAAGGAGCAGGTCGCCCTGGTTGGGTAGCTCAGTTGGTTAGAGCATTGTCCCCATACACCAAGGCTGAGGGTTTCATCCCCAGCCAGGGCACATACAAGAAGCAACCAGTGGATGCATAAATAAATGGAACAACAAATTGATGTTTCTCCCTCTACAATCAATCAGTCAATCGATAAAAAGAAAGGAGCAGGACTGGTCTGGACAGGTGGCTTTAGAAAAGCCTGGGGAGGAGGGCAGGGGTGGTTGGGAGCGCAGGACCCAGGCGCTAGGCTTCCCCAGCAGGACGCAGGACTGCCCCTCCTCACCATTTGGCTGAAGTTAGTCTTGATGATTCCGGGTGCCAGGCAGTTTACCCTAATGTTCATTTGGTTCAGCTCCACGGCCAGGCTCTTGGTGAGGCCCAGCAAGGCTGTTTTACTAACATTGTAAGGGCCCAGGCCCTGGGGGAAAGAAGGAAATGGGTTAATCTCTTTATTTCTGGTTCATTCTTGGTTCTTACTGGAAGACATCAAGGGCAGTAGGTAACAGGGCATGTCCTGTTAGGGGAGGGTCCCAGTTAGAAAACTGTCTTGTGGCTAAATCTCCCCTAGGTTGGGGTTTGTGGAGGCAAGGCATCTATTTATGGGAAGGGACTTGGTAGTGTGATTCTAAAAGGGGACACAAACTTCTTCGTGTTATGGGAGGGGTGGAAAGGTGCAGGGCGGAGGAAGGGATGGAAATAGCAAAGAAAGGGATTCTTACAGGAAGTGGGGTGTAGGCACCTATGGAGGCCACAATCACTACTGAGCCGCCTCTGGAAAAAGAAGAGAATGAAGAGAATGACGCTTTCCCCAGCAGAGATACCCCCTGCCCTCAGACCACGAGAGACTCCTTCTTGTTCTCCATACCCTCGTTTCTCCATCTCTGGCACCACTGCCTTTGTTATCAGGGCTGTGGCCTTCACATTAATGTCCAAAATCTGAAACCAAGAGAAGAAGAAACAGCATGAGAGGAGGAGGGGGGCAGGGCGGTGAGGAGTCATAGTCAGGTCCCTAACATCTGCTTGTTAGGGCTGGTGGAGATCTTAGAGAGGATTTCCCTGGACCTTATCAGGGAGGAAACCAAGGCAGGGGGAGAACTGTCTTTCACCAGCTTATTCAGCTAGAGACAGAAACATTAGGCTTGGGTGAGAAAAAAAAAATGGAGCCTGCTTCATCTTGTTTCCCAACTAGCCATGTACTTGAATGATTTGGCCTAGAATGGACCTAAACTCTCATGGCTACTTTGGATTTGAGCTGGATTTTCTGTGTTTCTTCTGACTAGGGAGTATCTGGAATGAGGTTGGCCTCCTAGGACCTGTCATGGAATGAGCCATGCTTCTCAGGGAAATGCGGCCTGCCCTTGGTCCCCTGGAGCCTTCCAGCACTCCTCTGACTCCTGAGTTCAGGGAGTGAGGTGCTCTTGGCCCTCCAGGATGGATTGTCTGGCTGGACATTTGTTGGAAAGTGGGACCATGAGGAGGCGCTTTCTGGGGAAGCTGGGGCACAGGCTAGAATCAAAACTCCACATCCATAATTTAAAACAAATGCATGACCCTCGTTTACATTGTTCTAGGTGCTGCAGGGATAGACCCTCCCCGCACCCCCAAGCAAACTTCTTATTTTTAAAAATTTCAATCTTACAGAAAGGTTGAAAAAGAAATACAATGAATATCCTTCACCTGGATTCCTCAACTGTTCCCATTTTGCCCCATTTGCCCTATCTATGTACTTAAACAGCTTCCCCCCCCCAACCACTGAAGTTAAGTTGCAGGTGTCATAATACCTAAGGATTTAGGGATGTTCTCTTACAGACCACAGTCCACAATCAGAGCCAGGGAATTTAACACTGATAATGATGATTTTACCTAATGTGCTGTCCATAATAAAGTTTCCCCAATTGTTCCCTAAATGCCCTTATTTTAAAAGTCCAAGGTTCAATCAAGAATCAACCCTGGCATTTAGATTCGATGTACTATGATATTTAAAAAAAAATGCAAACTAAACAGAAAAATTACTTGGCTTAAAGTTATTTTCCTGTGGTCTCCATGCAGACTGCTCATGAAAGATGTTTTTCTGCATAAAAAATATCAATCAGGAACTAACTCACGAAAGAGCCTTTGGCACTTTGGTCTCTATGTGTGTGAAACACTGATAAAGCACAATATTTCAGTATTCTAAACTTCAGAGTTGAGATATTATTGATGACGTCAGAAGAAAAAGGAAAACTATGGGCAATTAGAAAAAACCTGAGCATTTCCATATCGAGGGAATATCAACCTTAATAAACAAAGACAAATATTTTAATTAAGGCTTTATAATTTACATGCTGACACAAAACCAACATTCCACACTTGAATTTAGACACCTGGAGCTCCAACCGTCTTGACACCGCAGTTAAGAAAAGCGTGCAGGTCTTCTTCAAAGCTGTATGTTATAAAGCAGCAACTTAGGTCATTTCACGAGAACTGGTATTTCACTTAACTAGCAGCTATTAAAGTTTTCCAACTAATGAGAAACACTATTTTTCAGCAGCTGAAGAAAGGGACGGGTGGTATGCAAATTGAAGTGTATTAGTTATCGGCATCTGCTGGAAATAAACCAGGAAGAAGAGCCCGGATAAGCTCGGATAAGGGCAGAGTCGGGGTGGGGCTATAGGGAAGAAGGCGATTCGCTAGGAGCAAATGGAAGAAGACAAAACTGGGAGAAGCAGCAATGAAAGAAATGGGCAGGGAAAGAGGAAGCCCCCCACCCCCACTAGCTCTGTACCAGGTGCACTTCAGGTGCACGGCAAATTGCAAAGATTCTTCAGTTACATTGCTCTTGACAAATGCATTTTAAAAGCAGGCAGAATTTTCTGCCGTTCCCCGAGGCCCCCTGCTGCATTAATCCTCTCTTACCTTGTCCCACACCTCCTCAGTGACATCTATTAGGTTTCCAAAGAAAGGGTTGACCGCAGCATTGGAGACCAGGATGTCAATGCCCCCATGAAGCTTCACAGCCTGGAGAGAGTAGGGTCTAAATCAGGGCACCGGGTCTGTCGGGGAGGTGCATTTATCAATGTTGATAAAGAATTCCTTGTTAGGTACAAAATGAGGTCGAAATGACATCTCCGTTTCTTGAGACGTTTTTCTCCAAAGCTACCCTAACCTCTGCTGCTAAACACTTAGGGTTGTCTCATTTCTTTGGCATCTTCTGGCCCTCACTTCTTTTAAGGCTGTTGCTGACCTCTTACTCTCTACACTTTCTCTTTGGGGAGCTCCTTTGCTCTCACTGCCTGTCACCTCAAAATCTATTTCTAGACTCTTTCTCTTTTCACACTGAGTCCCAGTCCCATTTCTCCAAGTGCTTACTGTTACCATTATTTCCAACTCGACCTGTTCATACCTACCGGAATAGAGAAACTGTTTTAAATAGACTCATAGAAAGTTACCATTGGGAGGGGGTTCTTGGGTCCTAAAACACCACATCCTCATGGTGAAGGGGGTGACACGGAGGTCCAGGGGAGTTAATTTCTCAAGGCCCTATAGCTCAGGAATGACATATTAGGGCCAGGTAAGAATAGGAGGCCTATTCACTTTGGTCTTTGGGAGAAGCAAAGTGATTTGCTCAGGGCACAAAGCTAGTTAGTGGTGGCAGGACTGGAATCGGTCTGACGGGGTGGGGGGACACCAGTCTGGGCTTAAAGCAGTTCCACACTTGGTTATAATGCCATCCCCCCACCTCACCTTTATTTTGGCTTGGAGGCATGGTAAATTCAAGGCAGAGCAGAGATTGAAACTGGGAAAACTAAGAAAGGTAACATCTTACTTCCTTAAATCGTAAGTAGGTGGTGGCAGTCATGCATGATTAAGGAGTGGTCAAAGAGAATCTGCCAACAACATACTACCCTGAAACCAGACTTTGCATTTGCCCAGAACTGACAGTTTTGATGCCGGGGGCAAGCAGCAGTAAATGGGCCCTCAGTCAACTTCCGTGCTTCACGATTTGGCTCAGGGAAGGGTGTTGTTAACAATGTGTACCATCTGCTAGCTCCCATTTTAACTAACTATTCTTGCTAACTGGGTGCAAAGCTCAGATGTTTCTACACTGCTGAAGGAAGGCCTGAGCTGTCAACATGTAAATTTTGTCAACATGTAAAAAGCACAACTCTGCACTCTTTGAATTTTGGTGTCTAGGCACAAAGCTGTGGTCACTTGCCTTAGCTCTGCCAAAGTCTGGCCTATGACATTGTGACTAGGAAAGTGCAGAACATGTTAGAAAGTGATGTGTGCTTGCCCTGTACATGTGTGCCTGACAGTGGGGGGAAGATGGGGGGTTGCACCAGAATCACCTGGAGCACTTTTTATTTCTGCTCTGCATCTTGCCCCCTCTCCTTCCAGGCCTACCAGCGCAGAGAGCAGAGGAGGCTGGGTGTTGAGTGAACAGAGACAGAGAACCACAGAAGATGAATGAGAAATGTACTCTGACTACCCACCTGGTGTCTTTTGAGTCTTCCTCTAAATTGTGCTATCACTACACAGAAGTGGTTAAGCAGTGTTTGCTCTGTGTTCTGATAGGTACATTTTTTAGAAAAAGCATAATCTAGTGGAGAAGCGGCTGGTCTGGTTTCAGTTCACCACACCTTTGAGAAGATTCAAGGTGCAGGTTGGGAGGGCTGGGTAGGAACTGTCCTTGGGTGGCAGCTTTCCTCACCACAGGGTGACAACTGGCAACAGACAGAACACCTCTCAAACTGCTAACAAGTGTCCTATTATTCTCCATCCTGACATTGCCCTGAGAGTCATTTTGACTCATCCTTCCTGTTTCCCATTTCTTGACACTGAGTTCGAAAAGAAATCTTGGTTGGTTCCCACTGAATGTCTCTTAGGCATATCCATTCTGGTCCATCCACCACCACTGCTCTAGGCCTGAATGACAGCAACTTCCTCGTTGATGTCCTTGGCTCAGTTTTCTCTACTCCAATATATCCTTCCTACCAGTGACAGATTCTTCCTTTTATAACCATTTTCATCTTGCCCAAAACCTCGCATGGCCTCTTATTTCCTGCAAGGATGTCCCCGCTTCTTTGGGAGGCTATGGTGGCCCCTGTGCCCTCTTCTTCCCACCAGCCCGTTACACCAGCGCTCCTGAACTTGGCCTCTCTGCTGCGGGCTGACAGTGCTCCCCTCTTCCCTTCAGTTCCCCCTGGCTGTCTGCTCATTTTGCAGGGTCATTTGGAATTCCATCCTATTCCATGTGTCTATCCCACCCACCCCTAACAGTCTTGCTCAAACCCCACCACTGGGCCAGGGCTGCAGGACAGATGGGGTGAGAGATGGTTTTCCTGGCAGGATTTTGACATTTAAGTTGCTACATACATTTCATATGGCTAGTCACTAATTGGCCCAGGATCCCAGGTAGCTCCTTTCACCCTCAGGATCAAGGTCCCAAATCTCAGGCTCTGTCCAGCAGCCTATGCCAGACAAGGTGACTTTCTTGGACCTACATTTGGCTCTCTCGATGCACATTTGAGCATTTCCAAATGGTTCCTTAAATATGGAATACCCTTATGCCATCTACTATTGTTTCACATCCCCCTCTTCTAAGAAGATTACCACATCATTTCTGCTACCTTCCAATAGCACAATCCTACACTTTCCATTCTTGGGTAGATTTTCCCTTCCTTTCCAGGGAATAAAGTGTAGGCCCTGAGCCCGAGAGGAGGGGAGGCTCCTTTGCCAGATATTCGTATTTTCTTGTGTAGCTGGAAAGCCGGTGCCAAGTACCAACTCTGATCCTGGCTTAGACACCGTCTTTGAAAGTAGAGTCCAAATGGGCATCCAAGGCCTGACCCAACAATAATGGGGTAATGCCTGGTAGCTTGGCAGGTCTGGGTTGACTCCCAGCTCCTTTCTTATTGGCTGTGGGACCTTGGGATATGGCTCCACCTGAGAATATAAATAGGGAGAGTAGTCCTTGCCTTGTTTGGGTTGTTGTCACGTTTAGAGATAACCTGTGTAAGCCTCTGAACAAAGTGAACGGCACACAGCAGGCAGCTGAAACATGGTGGTTACCTCCTGCAGGTTTCTAGACACTGTCTCTACGCTGAGGGACAGGGGATGGAGTGCTGCTTTGCTCACAGGTGGCAACATCTATTTTGTGATGGTATCTACCCTTCTCATTTGCCCAATTAGATTGGAAACTACTTGAGAACCAGGACCCACTGTTTTTTTGCGGTGCCCCTAAGGGCTAATGCAGGGTTGAAGCACTGATTCTCTGACTGGGACGGGGTGATTCTTAGAGACATAACAGAAAGGCACACCATAAAAGAGTGCTGATGGACTGGTGTGGGTTTGCGGGACACACGATTATGTTGTAGTTAATAGTGCTGGCTTGGATCACACCAATGTTGTCCAGGAAAGCAGGGAAGGAGGCTCAGGCTGGCGCCCTTCTGCCACTTCCTGGCTCTGTGCACTTATCCTTGCTGCTCACCGTGGCCACCAGCCGCTCCCGGTCTTCTGCCTTCCCCACGTGGCACACGGTGCCCGTCACACTCAACCCCTCCCCCTGCAGCGCCGCCACTGCCTTGTCCACGTTCTGCTGCTTCCGGCTGCTGACCACCACGTGGGCCCCATCCTGGGCCAGACGCCTGGCGATGGCAAAACCAATCCTGTGAGCAGAGAGAGATATGGACTGTCAAGGCCAGTACCAGGAAGAGGCTGAGAGCATGGGCTCTGGAGTCAGAAGGCCCCTGTTTGAATTCTAGCTCTCCTTTTGGGCACTCATTTACGTAATTTATTACGGTTTTGGTCCTCTGACTAGGTTCCCAGAAAATGACATCACCCCCCCAACCACGGGGGACAGACCCCATACTCTGTAGGGATTGAGGGGAAAGAAATGAGCTAGGGGTGTAGTAGCATCCACTCCCACGATTGGAGGGTCTCACTCAAAAGAGCCCTGCCCTCAAATATTTTACTATTCTGCATCATCTCAAAATTCTGTCGTTAGTTATGTTTTGGGGTGCATTTGAAAGGGTGGGTCTGTGGTTAAAAATGTAAATTTTTACATTACTCTCCTGGGACTAAGTGTTACATATTTTGCAACTGTTATCCATTAGCATTTCGAGTATATTTGTATTTTAAATTTGTGTACAGCTGTTGTGTAGCAAAGTCCATTGGGAATGCAAAGCAGTATATACAAGAATGGTTGGTGAGAGACAGGCTGGGCAAGGGAGGCCAAAATATACTTAGTCAAACAAAATTCTGTATACACGAATCTTGCGTTCTGTCTAGGTACAGGGCGCGGCTCTGGGAGACCTGCAGGGGTGCCCAGCTGGGGTGTCTGGAACATTCCCATAGTCGATACAGGCAGTGGGATAGTATTTTTGAAATTTGGGCTGTCTTGAATTTCTGGTGTCTCGTCTTCCTAGACTCTAAGTGGGGCCAGTTGATGGGGCAGCCCAGGGCACTAAGACACTGGATTGACGGAGGCATCACTGAACTGGAGCAATCGAGCCGGAGGCAGCAGGGCCAGGGGATTCGGTGGGGGCCTCGGGCCAGCCACGTGGTTCCTTACTTCCGGTGTGGCGCTTAGGCCAGAGGACGGAACCGGGGAGACAAAGGACACTTGCTTCCAGATAGCAGGGGACCTCAAAGACCCCCGCCCGGGCACTCACCCATTGGTGGAGGCCGTTACTAGGGCCACCTTATTCGCCAGCGGGTCCGGGCGCGCCGCCCTGGAGCTGGCCATCCGCATCGACTTCCACGACTGAACACAGCCGCCCAGCAGCAACCTCGTCTTAAGCATAATTTCGTACGTTTCCGCATTGGCCGGGGGAGGGAGGTGCGAGTGGCAAGCCGCCTCCATTGGCTTGCGCGGCGCCGGGCTCTGGTCCCGCCCTTGGCCAGGACCGGTCCCCCTGCTCGGCTCCCGCCTCTTGGGCGGAGGGCATGCTGTGGCTGCAGGCGACCCCTGCCGGGCCACGGCTGCTGCGCGCCGCAGCCCCTCTGCTCCGCTCTGGCGGGTGTAGGACTGCTCTCCGTCCAGATTTCCTGCAGGGCCAGGCCCCATGCAGGAACCTGCAGACTTCCTCACATTTCTCCTTCCACATCTGCCTGCTCATTGTCATTTTCCAGGGGCGGCCAGTGGGGAGAGGCACCTTTGAGTTGGTTGCTTTTGCTTCCCAAACTTCAGGATGGACCATCTTCTCCGAAAAAGTCTGAGTCTAAATATGCGACAGCCCATAAGAAGGCAAATGTTTTGAGATTGCCCATGGAGGTGAGCATGTGGTCCCCGGGGAGTCACTGCATGAAGGTCTCAGGTGAGGTTAAAGGAGCCCGGGAGAGAGACGTGAAGGGGAGCAGCTGGGCTGGGCCTGGCACTGCCCTTCTCTCTAGCTCAAGGTCTCCTTCATCTTGACAAGCCTGGAGGGCAGACTCTGATCGCTGTGGTAACCATGTGCAGGATGAAGATCCTAGCTGGACTGGACTACAGAGAACCAGTGGTAGAAATACTGAGAACTCAAGAGCACTCATTTCTCCGCAGTCACCAAGTCCCCAGGTCTTAGCCTCCATCCTAATTTAATAAATATTTGTTGAATGTAAAAGCACTTCATAAACTGTAAACTACTAACCATAGTAATTACTGACACTATAAAGTAATTATTATTGCTGCTACAAGCCAGACTCTTCATCTATAAACTGAAGATGCTGGAATAGAAGATGAATAAAGTCTTCTCCAGCTATAAATTCTGTGTCCAAGACTTTAGCCTCCACTTCTGCCAAGTGGGCTGAAACGATCTCCCTTCTGGGTTTCTGGGAGAATGAATAAATCAGGATGGCTTATGGCGCACTGCAGAAGGGCCCTGGAAAACCCAAGTGCCAGTGTCTGAACTGGTTTAACCCAGTGGCCTCCAAAAGCCAGACTGAGAAGTAATGCTGACCCAGGGCAAAGTGTTCACTAGTTCAAGGCAAAATGAGGAAAACAAAGAAAATGGAGTAAGTTTCATAAAGCTAAGCTTATTTAACTTAATAGATAATCTTTTATTCTGAGATAGGCTTTTGTTCTTTTCTTCGTGTGTGTGTGTGTGTGTGTGTGTGTGTGAGAGAGAGAGAGAGAGAGAGAGAGAGAGAGAGATAGTCTTTTTGTTAAGAAAAAGTGAGGAAAACAGATGGGTAAGTTGAGGAAAGTGTCAGTTGGTGAAAACACCAGTTTGGCAACCCTATGTCAGTCCCTTCAGTTGGAGGAGGGAAAATGTAGGTCTGTGAAATTCAGTTTTAGGGATTGCTGTTTAATAGAATTTATACTGGCTAAAGATTGTAAAACCATCTTTGCCATCTCTTAGGGCTGCAGGACAGATGGGGTGAGAGATAGTAAAGGTCAGCGGATCAGCTAAAAAGAAAAGGGATTGCAACAGTCAAAAGGGGCTGTTTGGATGGCAAGTGATACAACAACGCACAAGATTTATAGTTTATTCCTCAGCTGAGATGCGGTGCTCAGCACATTCCGATGAGATAAGAGAGCTTAAGTCTAATATTCCCCATATCCGGGGAAAACTGACTCTGACTGGTGCCCCTCAGTCTGAAACTCATGAATTATTGACAACAGGCTGGATAGTGTGACACTGCTCTTCCTCCTCCCCTGTTCGGAGCTAATGCACTGTGGGAACCCTTTCCAGCGCGCCCCACCGGTGTGCGGGGGTAGGGGGAGGGTGTGTCGGGCTGGAGTGGGCGTTTCCAGGGCTTTCGGGTCAAAGGGACAGGACTGCAGGGCGAATTTGACCTCTCATCACCTCCTGCCCAGAGGTGGACAGCCAAATCCAGGAGCTGAGGTTCGAGGGAGAGGGAGGGCGAGGGAGGGCGAGAGAGGGAGATCACACTCCAAAGAACAAAGGCTTCTGGGAAGGGAATTCTGGCTTGGGAGCTCCTTGAATATTGGCTTCTCCTCATCTGGGCAAAGTCGGTATTTGGCCTCAAGCACCGTTTGGGAGAGCACGGGGGACATTAGGGGGGGATCTTTGAAAAGAAAAGGGTAGAAGGTGTGGGGGGGCTCTAGCTTCTACTCATCAAGCTGTTGTTTTGGAGATGGGGTAGGACATGTTGGGGGGAACTGCATGGGTATTGAGGAGTCTCTTTGAAATGGGAACTTTTAACAGGCAATGAGATTGTTCTTGTATGGATGTGATATCATCTGCAGATCTTGAAGAAATGCTTCTATGATTGAAGATCACACTCCCGTATTCTTTAAGGGTCTACTGGAGTCCAGAAGGAAATTCTGGAATGGAATTTAAATCTTGGGTTTTGCTATAGCCATCCCAGGTTGGTTATTGGTTCATGTACCGTCTTTGACACAAAGTCAGGATTGAGCAGTGTGGGAGGTCTGGGGACAGCAACTTTCATTGCATACTTACTAAATGCCAGCAAAGGTTGGGCACTTTCTATATATTTTATTGCATATTTCCAGTCCAGTGAAATAGGCCTTTTTATTTCCATGTTAAATCACAGTGACTCATAATGAGCTGACTCCTTGTCATTGTTGAATAGCTACACTTATTTTTTCTGACGTTGGAGAATGACAGTTTTCTTAGAAAATAATGTTCTCTGAATTGGGATTTTACTTCCATCACCAATGTGGTTTTGTTTTGATCATTAAAATATCTATTCTTTAAATAATAAAATAACACATGTACATGCTTTTAAAAAGAGAAAGTTATGAAGTGAAAAGTAAAGAGGTTACTCTTCCCTATGGATTCTCTTACCTACTCCCCCTATAGCACTTGATCTTGTGTATTCTTCCAGAAACTTCCTATGTATAACATACATTTTTCCCTGAAAAATGTTCCCATGAATGGAATGACACTATACTTTATCGGTCCCTTCAAATCACTGGTTTCTTTTCTTCCTTTCTCCTCTTCTTTCTTTTGTTTCTTAAAATACATTCTCAGAGAGTGTTCTGAGTTGACAATAGATCTACTCCATTCTCCCTCCCGTTAAAAATAGTTGTGCAGTATTCCATTGTATGGGTATTCCATAATTTACTTAGCCAGTCTCCTACTGATGAACATTTAGGTAGCTACCAGTGTTTTGCTATTTCAAACAACGCTGCAATGAACAACCTTGAATGTACAGTACATATGTATATATATACAATTTTGTGTTTGGTGCAAATCTGTACCTTGGGTCAAATGTTTTAAGTGGATGACTATGATCAAATTACCTTGAAAAGCAGTTCTGATGAATTTGTTTTTGTACAGTGAATGTATCTGCTGTTCTGCCCTCTTACACATTGACGTAGAAAGGTTTTCAACTTCAGATGATGACATAAGCTCAGTGACAAGTGTTGACCTACCCTGGTCTCAGTGGCTGGGAGCCGATGAGGGATGCTGGCCCCACTGACCTACGGCTCACAGAACTGAGACATACTCATTTCCACCCACTTTTGACATTGAGAATGCCAGCCCAGCACTGCCAGATGTTGGGATTTTTAAACAAAAGGTAGAAATCTGGATTTCAACACAAATTATGTGATGTTTAATTGTTGACAAGTAATTTATTTAAAAACAACTAAACAAGACAGTGAGTGGATCTGTGGGTGCCAGAGACTGACACAGTGTCCACCTATTTAAATGTAATGGATTAGTAGTTTTGTGAGATATTGCTCTGTCTAGGATCTCATAATTTTTCTGCACAGCTTATTCAATTTCTGGTTTTTCATTTTTTTCCTCCTGATCACCCTGTAGTTAGGCAGTTGTTTGTGAATGCTGTTTAGGGATGATCCATTCAGTATTTGTATAGTAGGTCTTTTATAGGAACTCTGTATAGCAGCGAGCAAAAGATTCTGAAAGACAAGCTTATCTTTTCCCTCAGGCGCAGGGTTGCTTTCCAAGGTTGGTTTGTAAAGGGGTGTCCCTCAATCTGTTTTCAAGCTGCAGTTTGCTCCCTCTTAAGTCTCAGTCCTCTCTGCTACTGGTCACTTCTGGGAAATCCAGGAGTGGTGTGGTTTCTGAGTGGAGGCTGAGATGCAGGGACAAGATGGGGAAGAGCACACTTTGCCCTATCCCTTTAATTCCTCAAATGTCATTGGACCAAGAAATTCACTGAACATTTGGGGGTAGAGTGAGATACAATACAGAGGGACAAATCCTCCAAAGGGATGCCTAATACGACTTCCCATTGGGTCTTTTATGGGCACAATTAAATTCCCAGTCCTGTTTTCAAAACTGGGGTTTCTCCCCCTTCTTCCCTTAGTGCCTGTGGCAGACACGGAGATGCAGATAATAGCTCTCAGATCCCCCTTCTGGAGATGACCTGGCTGGTGACTGGGAGTCCAATTAGCTGTCAGTCTCAAGCTGGCAGTTAACTCCTTCTCAGGGTGGCCCCAGCCAGTGACTGAGCACGATGGTTATACAAGGGACCTCCTTCTTTTTGGCTAACATAGGCTTCCTCCAACAGCCATGTGTCCTTTAGAACCTCCTGTTGGCGTTTGTCTGTCAGGTTTGCATTGTGTGATTTTACGTTTCCTCCTTCTCAATCCTGCTTCTTCCTCCTTTTTCCTTTCACAGGTCTTACTCTGACTACACCTTCGGGCTCCTGACTCCAATCAGGCATCTGTCTTGCTGAGGATTCACGGACATTCTCCTTTCTTCAGAATCTTTCCCTTGCAGGCCACCTCCCACGCCCTCCCACCCCCGGCCCCTCCTCTCAGCGCACAGTGATGTCGAAGGATCAGTCCTTTCCTCCCTATTCAGAGCTTCAGGTCACTCTGAAGCAAGAATCCTGTCACCACAGTTCCTGCCAGTTTGGGTTATTTG